CATCCTTACTATTTCGATTTGCTGTTTGAGAAGTGCTAGCAAGCTGGCAATGTGGTAGTGAAGTGGCCTAGTTCATTATCGTACCGCTTTCACTCGGTCTGCAACTCTTGCAAGTTGTTCTCAGTCTTTGATTCGCTCTACGGAAACGGGGTCAACGTCGAACTTGTACAGTCATACAGATTGTTCGAGGACTAGACCGAAAAGCAGGTTGAAGACGTCGGATAGTTGCAACAAGTGTCGACTTGTGGATCGAACAAGCAGTGGTATCAGTTCTGCTATACGTTCACGTGAGAACTGCGATGCAGCTGACTGCAGAACATTCATCAACGTGTCCGAATCCACTCCCGAGACTCCATCAGGGTCAGAATGGTTGGCCTGCAACCCTTGGAACAGCAAAGTGGCTGCATCAATGAGCTCTTCCGTGAGGAGACACACTTGTACACCTCGGCGAAATCGTGTTAAACCCACACTTTGATTGTTCGGTGTGTCAGTCGTAATTCCAGACGAGAGTGCAGCTTCAAGTAGTTTAGTTTGCAGAGGCTTTGGAAAGTCCGCGCTAAGCTGCTGTAAAAGTTGTTGAAATGAAGTCTCGCTAATGGTGGCAGGACCACCTGCTCGAATTTTCCGGGACGAAGTGGGTCCTGCCGAAGTTGCCCGCTGAGGCGGAGTAGTGGTCAATAGAGTAGGTGTTGGTGTCGCTTCCATAGTTGCAAGGTCATGGAAGGCTTTTTCGACAGCTGACGGAAACGACGGGCTGCTAGGGTGACAGACACGCAGATACGAGACCACGGACGCAGACTTGTTGGTAACTAGACCTTGAAAGCTGCAGATCCATCATCACACACGGAAAACCCATCAGCAGAGGTGAGTATTTCGTGACCGGGTGTTGCACGTACTGAGAAGCGAGGAAAGCCACAGGGACACGAGGTCTCAGCGTCAACACCTCGGCAATTGCCGTCGCTATCATATCCTTAGCGCCAGATTTTGCTATTGTAGTTCGCAAACACAGATTAGCTTGGACGTTCTCAAGCGATCCCTAACTCCTCCTCTTACCTAAGTAGTCTTCAGACATTGTTGCCGCTATATCTTGTGCAGAGACGTTTCATGTATCGTGGTTACGGTTCTCTTTAGAGGATGCACTAAATGAAATATCACTAAATCGAAATACACTTGATTGACTCATATCTCTTAATCTTAACGGTGACGAAGGCTCTGCACCAGCTCTTCCTCTTGCTGTCCATCTTGAAGTCTGCGTGTATGGTGTGCAAATGCTTGGAGCTCCATCATACTCAGCATAAAATACTTTGCGTCCTCATGGAAGCGACGACGCGTCTGCACTCCTATGTTCTTGCGTTCACTAAGCGACAACGACGATATCTTCAACACGGCAGAGCAGAGATCCGAGCTGCGGTAGTTCGCTGGCGGTGGGGGCAACAACAAATAATCGTCTGACACCAGACTACGACGCTCAGTCTGATGCAGAGCCGACTGCTGCGTGGGGAACGTCACCCCCTCCGAATGTGAAGATACAACTTCGTTCATCGGATACGCGTCCGCTGTGACGACAACACCGCCAGAAGCTCGTGCGAGGTCCAGACAGTCGTCAGCAGCGGTCGGACAGATGAAAAACGAGGCCTCTCCGAATTTTTTAGAGAACTTGACTGCGTCCAATACTTGCACTTTGGTATCGCTGTCACCGGGGAACGGTTTGTAGTATCTTGTACCGTCATTCTGCTTGTTCTCGTGGATTGCTCGTAGTAGATAGACGTCTAAAGGGGGAAGTTCCTTCTTGTGGCCCTTCCAGCAGTTGAAAA